CAGACTGTATGAAATATTTTAAAATTCCATTTCTGATAAATATTTGAAGCCTTCTCAAAGTTCGGTAACAAGGCCAGGTAAAGAAAGACATTTCTCAAATCCCAGCAACTTAGGAGACTGAGGCAGGAGGGGTGCAAGTTCAAGGACAATCTCTGCAACCTAGAAAGACCCTGTCTCAAAAAATAAAAAAGGCTGAGATATAGCCCAGTAGTAGAGTGCTCCTGGGTTCAATCCCCAGTACCAAAAAAAAAAATAAAAACTGGCATTTTTATATAAAGTTAAACATAACTTATCATATGACCCATTAATCCCAGGAATTTTTATAGCAATATGATATGTTCACACAAAAGTCTGTGTCTGAATGTTTTATGCTTTATTCCTAACTGCCCATAACTGGAAATAACTCAGATGTCCTTCAGCTAGAGGATGGATAAGCAAACTGCAGTGACCCTACCACAGGACAGTAGTCAGCAACAAAAACAGATGGCAGAGATGCAGACGTGAATGCATCCCAAATGCAGCGTGCTAAGCAAAAGGAGTCATCTTTTAAAAGCTACATACCATATGATTCCACTGACCCGGCTTCTGGAAAAAGCAAAAATATAGAGACAGAAGCAGTTCAATGGTTGCCAGGGGCTGGCAGGAAAGACTGACAGTAAACAGATACCAGGAGGGAATCTGGAGGGGGTGGGGTGCTGTTCTTTATTCTGATTTTGGTGGTGGCCACAAGATTGGGTGTGACAGCTGAAATTTGAAAAAACTATTCACTTAAAAGGATGAATTTTGCCAGATGTGATGATGAAAGCCTGTCATTCTAGCAGAAGGATTGCAAGTTTGAAGTTAGCATCAGCAACTTGGGGAGACCCTGAATCAAAATAAAAAATAAAAAGAACTGGAGATGTAAAATACCCCTGGGTTTAGTCCCCAGTATCACACACACACAAAAAAAGTACATGTGAAGAAATTGGTAACAGGTAGGAAATAACAAGAAATATAGTACATATGAGAATGCTTGAGTCTTTGTAACACAAAACTTCAGTGGATAGGTGAGAACTCTAGACTACAACATGGATTTACATGAAATATCATATATTAACATACATAGATGCCACCAAAAAAGTGGAATTCTCCTTTTTCTTACAATCTCTTTGCAAAGCAGAGGGAAAAAACTTTATGGAGGGAAAAAAAACTAGAATAAAAAAGTAAAAAATTGAGTAGAATCAGGCTACGGATATAGCACAGTGGTAAAGTACTTGCCTAACATGCATTAGGCCCTGGGCTCAATCCCTAGCACAGCATATCTCTCTCTCTCTCTCTCTCTCTCTCTCTCATAATCTAGATGGGCAAGACCATAAGTATACCATAGTGAGCACACCTAAGTGTGTTGGGAGTTAGGTGCAGTGGTGTGCAAGCCTGTAATCCAGCTACCCAGAAGGTGGAGGCAGGAAGATCATAAGTTCAAGGCCAACATCAGCCACTTAGTGAGACCCTGTCTCAAAATAAAGTAAAAAGGGCTGGGAATATAGCTCAATAGAGAGGGTCCCAGAGATCAATCTCCAGTACAAACAACAACAAGAACAACAAGAAACTGTGTTAGGAAAGTAACAGGAAAAACTTCCCAGAACAACATAAGAGTGGTCCCATGTTTTACTTGGCTTTATAACCCCATGGTTCTTTTTTTTTTTTTTTTTTTTTTGAAGTTGTAGATGGACAGAATGCCTCCATTTTATTTGTTTATTTTTATGTGGTGCTAAGGATTGAACCCAGTGCCTTATACATGCGAGGTAAGTGCTCTGCCACTGAGCTACAGCCCAGGCGCCTCCACGGCTCTTTGTAAGCTCTGAATAAATGTCTGTTGAATGAATAACTAAAGTAAAGGCAACCTATCTCCTCAGCTATCACTGAGCTATAACCCCAACCATTTTTATTTTGAGACAAGGTCTAAGTTGCTTAGGGCCTCACCAAGTTACTAAGGTTAGTAACTTGTGATTCTCCTGCCTCAGCCTCCTCAGTAGTTGGAATTACCACCGCACCTGGCATCTCCTCCACTTTTTTTTTTTTTTGTAGCTGTAGTTACTGGCTACTCAATAAAGCTCAACCCAGAAGGGACAACAGGGAACTAGAAAAGTGGCTCAGTTATACAGCATGAGCCTACTGTGCACCCAGCCCTGAGTTCAATTGCCAGCATTGCAAAAAATATATTTATTTTGCTTTCCTTCATATTCTAAGTAACATTCATTCAACAAATATTAACTCCCCAGTATGCTGCTGTTCTTGGCACCCAAACACATAAAATAAAGACCCTGCTCTGGCAGAAGTAACATTCAAGTGTATGAAACAATCACCCTCTCTGCCACTGTTCCCCATCACCAAAAAAAAAAAAAAAAAAGAACAAGATCATTTCAATTGCTATGAAAATAAATAAACATTTTAATTTATCATGGAAAAAATGTCATAAATAGGGTTAGAGAGGTAGTCCAAAGGTAGGGTGCTTGCTTAGCAAGCACAAGGCTCTGGGTTCAAACCCCAAATAGCAAAAAAGAAAAGAAAAAGATAAATAGTGATTAAGGATGTTAGTTTAGATTGGGAAGACCAGGGTGTGGAGGTGACATCTAAACTGGCACACAGAGGTTAGAAAACACCTTTATTTTACTTTATTTTTTTAGAGAAAAAGGCAAAGCTAAAAAACCCATCTTCAAATTAGGAGACAGAATTAACCTGTATCAGTGACAAAAGATTGCAATAATATATTTTTCTAGACTATATGCCTAACTCAATCATTACAGCAATAGAATCCCACATTCACCGCTTTAGGTAAAACGGGTTTCCTTTCATTTTTTACACTGTGATTTTGCTTTATTTCAGTAATAAATTTTAGGCATATTGCATATTGATTCATTTTGCTTTTATTTACCTTTATGCTTGCTTCTACAGAAAACAAGGGAGGGGAACTAGGGAGCCATCTGGAAAAACAAGGGTCCTAACAAAAGGATGCACAAACTTGATTTCTACAACAGTTAGGAATTTTATCTTCTAAGTGAAGTATTCAAATATAACATTTGAAACAATGTAGCATGTAATATTCCAGTCATCCCTACTTTTTAACGCTTTAAAAGGATATTGGAAGGAAATGGTATGTATAGAATAATAAAGTTTTGGTTTTTTTTTTTTTTAACTAAGGTTGCAAAGAAATGGACACCAGGTTTTAAAAAATTAATTAACACTGACTTTAGCCAGTCATTAACTGCTGCAAATCTCCATTTCTTTCCCTTGGGTAAAATAAGGATGTTGATATAAGGGGATCCCTGTGGATTCTTCCAGTCTTAAACACTGATTCTCCTCAGAAAACAGCCTGGATAATTCGGGTGTTACTGTAAGCATCTTTTAACAAATGTTCATTTGGAGTTCAGTTTTTATAACAATATTCTTCTGATATAATAGGTCAGGTAAGGTCATTCAACAAGACTCCTCAATAGGAATATTTCCCATATTCTGATGAAAAGAATAAGGAAAGGGAAAAACAGTTATGAAGCTCCAAAAGAACTCGACAACAGCACAGCGAAAGCACTGGAGAGCAGACACGGAGCAAGACTGCGAGGGCCGTAATAGGAGAGAATCACTGGAAAGGAAACTGTAAATTTCCACCATTTTTATTTTTTTCCTTTTTTATCCTCTCCTACAGAGAAAAGCCCAGTTTTAATTTTCCCTTAACTCAAGAGTAAGCAAAAGCTACAGCAGTCCTCACACGTTTTTTTGTCATAAAGAAACGCCAAAATATGGAAGAGGCGCTATTTTTCTACACATAATCACTGATCTTATTTAGCACAGAGAACGCCGTTTTCCAAATATTCCCCATCAGCCCTCACTCCGCTGCAGCCGACGCTCACCACCACCCATTTTTTTAAATCCATTCATGCTGGGCCTTTCATCCAAACCCATAAACAACCATTTCCTCCCTGCAGCAATGTCTGAGCTGCCTAAGACGGTCAGCCGAGCCAGGCTGAGTCCTGCAAAGAGGGAGACTGCAGACTGCGGCGCTGGGTAGGGCCATCCTCCCGCGGTCCACAGAAGCCGAGTGATGGAAGAGGGTTCGCGACCCAGGCAAGACCCCGCCCTTGGAAGCCAAGCCCGGAGATGGGGAGGAGGAGTGAGGCGGCTCAGCCCAGCAGAGCAGAGCCTTTGGAAAACAGGCGTCTCCTCCCCAGCTGGCAGGAGTGGCCGGGCCGCGCGCGCCGAGCCGCTCCCAGGTGGGTCTCCGCAGCCGGGGACCGCGGCTCGGCTCCCGGGAGGGGGAGGGAGGAGAGGAGGACACAGGCCGGGATTTCTCTCGTCACGATTCTCGAGGGAGGGTGGGAAAGAGAGAGGGACGGGAGACAGAAAAAGCAGCGGAATCGGGGAGCTCGAGGAATAAAGGCAAGGAAGGGGAGAGGGGGAATGGGGGACAGGCAATGAGAGTGACGAAGAATCGGGGTGCCGGGGTGATGCTGCAGAGGAGGGCAATGGGCTGGAGGGGATAAAGGCGGAGTGAAGGGGCAGGGATGGGTCCGGGGGTGAAGCGGGAATGGAGGATGGGACGAGGGGGGAAGAGAGATGGAGAAATGGGGGCGAGGGGATAGAGGTAAAAAGGACAGCGGGATGTTGATGAAGGAGAGGTGTGGGTGAAGGGGAAAGAAGTGGGGGAGAGGAGAGGTGAGGGATGGAGTGAGTGGCGCAGGTGAAGGGGGATGGCGATAAAGGAGAAGGAGCTGGGGTGCAGAGGGGAGCGGCAGGAACAGGGACCACAAGCGGGAAGGGGAGAGCGGGGCCGGGCCGCAGGAGGCCGGGAAGGACTTCCCTCCCGGGAGGGCGGCACCAAAATAACGGGACCCTGCGGGCCTGGAGCCCCCAGAGGGGTGGGCCAGCGTCCAGGCGCGGAGGCCAGGGCGCTGCGGTCAGGTACCGCGGGGCTCCTCCAGGCAGCCGCAACCCCCGCCTGCGGGAAGGACCCCGACTCCACTTACTCTCTCCGACCACAGCTTTGAGACCAATGGGGGCCATGGCGCTGCGCGATTCTCTGGGCTTCAAGCCTCCTTACGCGACGCCCGCAGACACCGCGGTCTCCTCGAACGGCGCGCTCGGAAGGCTGCAGCCCGCCGCCCCGCTGCCGCGCTCGGGACCGACTGACGCGCGGACTCGGCGCGGGGGCGCGGCGCGAGCCAGAGCGAGGCTGCCGAGCCTCCGGAGCGCGCGGGGGGCGGGGCCAATTAGGGCGGGGCCTTGCGCCAGCCGATAGCGTCACCCGCGCGCCTCCGCCAATCGCACTGCGACCCGGGCGCTTGGCCCCGCCCTCCGGGATGCGGCTGGGCGAGAGGCAGCCCCTGGCTGGTGCGGGAGGCGCGACCTCCCCCCTCACCTCACGTGCCGCGCGCGTCGAGTGCCGGGTCCTAAAGTCTCCTCTACAACCTCTGGGCTCGAAATCTGGACACAGGTATATTTAAAAAATCCCGTTATGGTTCTGTCTTTACTCCTTTTGAGAGTCATCCTTTTCCCCCTGCCCACAGAAGGAATTCGGAGATAAGACCTATTATTATAGTACGCTGTCCAGACACGACATAACCTTGGGTACGTGGGTGCCCTCTCTCTCCCTCTCTTTCCTAAACTAAGGGGGAAAAAAAGTGTGGAGTCTTTGTTGACATGTGCCAGCTGGATAAAGAAAATAATACTAAGAAAAATAATAAATAAAAAAATTATTTTTTTATTATTTTATAACATTATTATTAGTAGTAGTAGTACTGAAAATTGAATCCAGGGGCACTTTACCACTGAGCTACATCCCCAGTATTGGTTTATTGGTTTAGAGACACAGTCTCACTAAATTGCTGAGGCTGTCCTGGAACTTTGGATCCTCCTGCCTCAGCCTCCTGAACTGCTTAGATTACAGGTGTGTGCCTTTATGCCCGACTAGGCATTGTTTTTAATCTCCACTTTCAGATGAAAAAAAAAAAAACCAAGCTCAGATACTGGAAGCAGCATTATGACTTCATGTCAGATTGTGTATCATCCATTAACAAATATTTATAGTTCTCTCCTTAATGTGTGTAAACTGCTATTCTGGGCACTAGACCTACAACCATGCACAACAACAGGTAGATTCTGATCTTAGTCTGGAGTCTAGAAGTTTCTAAGTCCCAAATCTGTTAGGGATGTGCTATGGGATCAACTCTGGACTTAGTATCTCCTCCCTGGAGTCCACATTTACCAAAATGGGTCCTAGGTCAGTTTTTACTGGACTTTCTTTGTTGATGGGAAATATTGCGTTTGAAGTACAGACAAGGATTGGGGGTGTAACCCAGTGCTAGAGTGCTTGCCTAGAGAGCATGCACAAAGCTCAGAGTTTGATCCCTGGCACTGAAGGAAAGAAAAGGAACTTGGCTCACTTCTGACTTCAAATAAAAACCAAGTTTAATCAATTAAACATCACAAAGGACAGAAAAGCTAGTAGTAGTAAAATTCATCATTAAATAATTTTTTATAAAAGCTAGATTCTTTTCTTCATATTATTAAGAAATGTAAAAACTGGGGAAGAGCTCGAAATCCCAGCTACTTGGGAGGCTGAGGCAGGATGATTGAAACTTTCAAGCCACCTGGACAACTTAGTGAGACCTGTCTCAAAATAAACTTTGAAAAGGGTTGGGCAGGTACTTCAGTGATAGAGCACTTGACTAGCATCCACAAGCCCCTGGGTTCAATCTCTAGTACCTCTCCCCCCACACACACTAAAGAAGCCACATGTCCTAGTCAACCACCAGCCCTATGGCAAGACAATTTGACAATCTTCTCATCTCTACTCCAGTCTACCCCTACAGAACCTTGACTTGGCTTCACCTAGAGACAAAGTGCTGCTTTTACCCACAGAACATTAATAGCCTTTGGGTACATTTGGAAGGAGGAGGAGATAATTTATGAGGGGATCTATGATGCTCTTGCGATGCCACATGCTCCTTCTTTATCCAGCTGGCACATGTCAACAAAGACTCTACACTTTTTTTTCCCTTAGTTTAGTTTTGTTTTTTGATGCTGGGGATTGAAACCAGAGGTACTTTACCACTGAGCTACATCCTCAGCCCTTTTTATTTATTTTTTCATTTTGAGACAGAGTCTTGCTAGGCCCTCGATAAACTGCTGAGTCTGGTCTCGAACTTGTGATCCACCTGTCTCAGCCTGCTGAGTTGCTGAGATTACAAGTATGTGCTGCTGCACCTGATGAGACTCCACAGTTCTGTATCTGTCATGAAAATACAAATTAGATACTGGAAAATTCTTTAGTAGAATTTTTAAAGTAGTCATGGCAAGGGCTCCTCTTGTCACTTATTTGGTCAGTGAGTCAACAAGCATTTACTGAGTGCCACCAAGGTCCAGGCCATGTGCTATAGATCAGGTATAGCTTCCCCAAGGAGCTGGTATTCTGGTTGAGGAGATAGATGGCAGTCAAGGAGTCCTGTTCAGCGCCAAGTTACCCTTCTGGAAAGTTCTGAAGCAGAAGAGGGGTCCATGATAGTGAGTGAGAAGGTATTTGACCCCTTCTCTGGATTGCAGTCAGAGCAGGTTTCCTGAGCTAGGTAAAGGCAGCAGGAGGAGATGAGAGAGTGTTCTGGAAAACATACAGTAGTGCAAAGACCCAGTGGCAGAAAGAAGTTTGGTCCTTCCAGGAACAGAGGGGGGTCAGTGTGTCTAGAGGGAGAAAGCCTGAAGGGCAAGGTGGGAGGGAGAGCCCCCAGGGGTGAACCTGGCTTCAGGAATCCAGGGCTCTGAGGCCTAGGTTCTGTGCCCTGGAGGCCTCCTCAAAGGTCACAGCAAATAAAATATAACAGATCCTAATTTTCTGCAGAAGGAAGGACAAGAAAAGGAATAGTTAAAAAAAAAAAAAAGTCTCCTGATGTGTACCTGAGATGTTCACTGGGAATATCCAAAATAAAATAGCATCAAAACAGATGTTATTTTAAATAGGATGTTTCAAGAAGTGAGTGGGTGACAGACTGTGAACTCGCCCAGGAACCCTGACTTTGCAGTGTCGAATTGGAATCACACTGCATGTGGAATCCAAGATCTCGTTCTAGACTTCTTGATACCTCTGAGCCTTGGTTTCCCCATAGGAACAATAAAACTTGCAGACCTCTGTTGCAGGGTGGCTCTGAGGAGCCAGAGAGATTATCAGCATTAAAGGGCCAACGCCCCTCCCCCTCCCCCCGCACAGCCTTCACTCAGTGCTACCCTTTGTTCTATATTCTTGTTTTGCATTTACTGAGATCGATGCATGCACGGCACCATGTAGAGTTCTCAGGAATTTTCACTTCAGGCCAACGAGGTCGGTGCTATTATTATCATTTTCCCGGGGCTCAGGCAGGTCAAGTCACGCTTTAAGCGCAGCCGCATGACTGGACAAGCACACTGACTTCCTGATGCTCAAGAGGAATACTCCAGCGCCCAGGAACAGCCTCAGGAACCTGACCTAAGGAGACGTTTGGCTATATGGACAACTTGTCGGACGTGCACCAATGGGAAGCCTAACCCGTGGGATTTTGAACCCAGACGAAGTCACTATCTACAACTGCAGCCCAGGATCAGGACCTGGCGTTGCTGTAGGTGCAGGGTGCAGGGCTCCCCGAAACCTTGTCGCTAGCGCGCAGGTGCACCTACCTGCGCATGCGCGGCCGGCGCCTCTGCAGAGCTGGGTGCGCGCCAGCAGCTGGGGGGCGGGGGAAGAATCCTGAGATCTAGGGGCCGGTCACGTGAGGGCGGGAGTCCTCCTGGTGAGCAGATGGATGCGGGTAGATACTAGGGGAAAGGACAACTTGAGAGGGATCTGTCCAGAAGAACCGAGAATGAGGATGCAGAAGAACAAGAAATAGTCTCGAACCAGAAAAAAAAGAGGAGCTGGTTGCGGCTGCCTTCGCCAGGCCTGCTGAGCCACCTACCTGAATGCTTGGGCCCCCGCACACGCTGGGTGCCTTGGAGAGCCCCGAGTACAGAGTTTCGGCCACTTCTCCCACTTTCCTCCCTTCTGCTTCCAACGACGGACCCCAGTGCTAGGGATTGAACCCAGGACCCTGGGAAGGAAAGCTTTCTACAGCAGAGCCACATCCCTAGGCTTCCGCCCTTGTGCTTTTAAGCTACATCATCAGCCTTATTTTCCCATGCTCATCTCCCACCCCCTCTTACTGACCTCGGAGCCATTATAGATCCCCTACACTCTTTTAGGAGCAGTTACAAAAGAATTCTAACAATATTTATAAAGTACTTTACCCAATACTGGGAACCTGGTGTGAATTCAGCAGAATGTTACCTATTAATATCATTGTTAAGGAATGACGCATCTTGAGGCACAAATTGGTGCAAAATATGTATGAGAGGGGCTGGGGATGTGGTTCAAGTGGTAGCGCGCTCGCCTGGCATGCGTGCGGCCCGGGTTCGATCCTCAACACCACATACAAAGAGTGTGTCCGCCGAAAACTAAAAAAAAAATAAATATAAAAAAAGAACAGAATAGAGTTAAAAAAAAATGAGCTGGAGATGTGGTTCAAGCGGTATCGCACTCGCCTGGCATGCGTGCAGCCCGGGTTCCATCCTCGCACCACATACAAACAAAGATGTTGTGTACACCAAAAACTAAAAAAATAAATATTAAAAAATTCTCTCTCTCACTCTTTCTTAAAAAAATATGTATGAGAAATGCTTGAGTTGTGGAAAGTTCAGTCAATGTCCTACCTCTGTTTTTCTTCTTCTCTGCTGGATGCATTGGCAGAGGATGAAAATGTGATGTCTCCACCGCTCTCATCCCCACCCCCAACACACATGCCTGCAAAGATCCGCTGGGCGGGCACTGCTTGAGTCTGGGACATCCTTTCACTCAAGTTAACTGTGTGTGTGTGTGTGTGTGTGTGTGTGTTTGGAGTCGAGGTCAGGATGCAATTTTTTTTTTTTTTGTAGTTGTAGATGGACAGAATGCCTTTATTTTATTTATTTATTTTTTATGTGGATCTAACCCAGTGCCTCATGCATGCTAGGCAAGAGCTCTACCACTGAGCTACAGTCCCAGCCCCCCAAAAGGCTTTCTTTTTAAAATGCCTAGACCAGGGCTGGGGATGTGGCTCAAGCGGTAGCGCGCTCGCCTGGCATGCATGCGGCCGGGTTG